CAAGTATGTCATTAAAAGAACTACACTGGACAGGGTTTGCAGGGAGATGTGACCAAGGATCCAGCATAATATTAACTAACATGATTCTGGACGTCCTTAGCATTCCATGTAACCATCCAATCCCCTCCCACATTCTTGCCATGGTTTGACCTAAATGTCCATGGAACTCACTACCACAGGTTGCCTAATTACACAATTATAAAGGGAGAACTTTTTCTCTCTTCCAAGTTTTCACAAGTGCTGATTTCCACTCTTTCATTTAGTGTCCCCAACTCTGGAGAGCTGGCAAATTGGAAAAATAAGGGTCTCATGAGTTCACTTCTAGGCTAAAATAATGCAAAGATTCAATTACAAATGCAATTAAGACACATTAAATACCCCTGAAGGATTACACCTGCTAATTAAAATAAAGCAGCAGCTTAATAACTGAAGAAATATTTTGCCCTCACTTCTCTAAAGACAGCACCAACTGCCACATATGGAGGGTAGGGGGCCTGTTTGCTCTGAGTTCCTGCTATGACAATCCTTTTAGTTTTTGTTGGCTAGTCCAGGTCTTGGGGTCTCCCCTTGTCTCAAAGTTCAGAGGAATCCTGAAGCTGTTCTTTCAGATTAGTGAGGAGACCAGAGGAGGTTGCCAGTGGTATGCAGAAAAGGGAAAAAGTAATACTGTGTTTGTGCCCAGGTTTAACAGGATGCTACTTTCTCCTAAAATACCTGTAGTTGTATTAATCCTTTTAAGGCAAGACCATTCTCAGACAAATACTTCCATCAGAGACAGGTTGAGCCCACCCAAATGAAAAGACATTCTCTCAGTTCTCCAGTGAGAGGAAAAAAAGCTAGCAGGGCTGAGACCTCCCCAGGGTCTTCTCACCTTCCTCTAGTTCTCCCCAAGGGTTTCCTGTGTGCCACCAACTCATTCCCATGCACATTCCCCTCCCCACACTGTCACATCTTGAACAGGTTCAGCTGTTGCCTTTAAATGTACAAGCAACAATCAGGCCGAGATCTCTCCCCACAAGGCACCTGTCAGAGTTTCCCTATCCAGCTTTCTCCTGCACCAAAAAAAAAAAAAAAAAAAACACCTGAAAGGCTTATGCCAGCTGAAGCCAAAAATATTTCCCAAAGCACATGGGATGCTGCATGCTGTCAGCTAAAATACTGCAGCCAGAGCCGATTAGGCTAAGCAATAAACTTTATTTCACCATCATGCTGGTCTCACCTCTTACCTGGGTCTAGGCATGTGAATTTGCAGCACTCCTTGGGGTCTTTGCGATACTGCTGACAGCCCTGGGGCCGCTCACACAGGGCAGCCACACACATCTCTGGCTCACCATTGTGACAAGTGCAGCTCAAGCAGGGATCATCCCCTTTTGGAGTGAAATAGTAGCCTTCGTCAACAACATTGTCTTTGATATCAACACAAGTCTGGCCTGGAAAAGAAACATGCATCAGTGCTTTCAAACAAACCCTTCAAAGCAATACGAGTCCAACTCATTCTGCTTGATGGTTTATAAAAATTAAACAAACTTAATTAATGACACAGACCATTAATGCAAGGGTTTCCCTTTTTCAAAGATGACTTTGTAGAGCTAAGAAGTAAAGGGAATATGGGAAACAGACGAAAGCCCATTCAAGCGCTTTAAGTATTTTTCCCCTTCTTCACTATGTATTTAATATAAAAAAAAAAACAAGTGAGATTTAATGATGGTTATACATTTGGAGGAAGCCAGAGACAACTTCACATGGAAGCTTGGAACAACAGGTCAATATTTAACGAACAAGGGCTTTTATCATAAATCTTCTCTCTTTCTAGCCTGACATTCTTCCCTACCATACAATCAGCAGTGCCATGAGAGTGCAAACCTGCACTGTGCTATGACTGGCAATTATTGCTCCCCTCAAACCGCAAACTTTTAAAAAAATTAAGACAGCACAAGAAGCACAAAGGGTGAGCAACAGACTCCTCCATATCCAATCACAGGGTGCCCAAACACAAGTCCATCTGTATTGTATTACAAGATCAACTTACTCCTTTTGCAGAGGAACGAAGACTTCTCATAGCAGTTTTCAGCATACCAGCTATGCAAGCCATGGTGCCGAAGAGTGGGAAAATGGAAACACTGAAGCTGGGCACAAAGAACATTTTCATTTTCAGACATGGCCGTTCCAAAGATGGGATCAGGAGGTAAAAACACTTCTGAGGAACCTGCAATGAGAATGGACTAGTCTGAGCAACCAGTGGGTTTACAAAGTGCTAGAAAAAAGTTTTCTACTCCATGTGCACCCAACAGTACCCAAGTTTTAATTTCTGGCAGCAATGCTCCTTCATGGAGAGTAATTCATACAGCCTCCCAAAATCATGATGTTGGTGAAAAGAATGCTGCTATAGCTACACGCTACATTATACATACCGTGAAAACAAATCTTGCCCTTGTGTAACAGCACGCAACAAATCCTGATCTTTCTATGCCTACTTTGCACACATCTTTCCACACTAAGGAAACAGCAAGCAACAGATCTGCTAGTTCTAAAACCACCCCTTCCTACTGATGCCCAAAACTAGTGCCACAGCTGTGAAAATGGACCCACAGCAATTGAGCTGCCACACTGGGTTGACTTCCGGTTGTGGATATGGCCCCTTAGCGTCTCATCAGCTACAGTTTCTGGTGTTCCCAATGCAACAGAGTGCTGATTACCCAAACAGCCAGGCCTGAGGAACTAGCTGTAAGATTTTTCCATCACACAGATTATTTTGTGAAAATATTTCCCCATGTTTGTGCATGGGATATACTTTAAATAGAGCAAGACAGCTGTGACCAGGCAGACCAAGTACAAGGTATGAAGTTAGGACTCCTGGACTTTAAGGCTATTGACTCAGAAACATTAGGCAAGTTACCCAATTTGTGTGCCTCAGTTACATTTTCTGTAAAATGTACACAATGTTTACTTACCTCTGCTAAATCTTTTCAAAAAAGTTATGAAGGGAACATTCCAAGTGCAAATAGTATATTAATAAATAAATAAATATAAAAACAACTTGCCCGATTTGCTATTGCCATCAAACTATGGGCCTCTTCTACCGGAGAGATTTAATGTCATTTAAATATAAAACATGGCGATTAAAAGGCAAATCGCATCATACCTCAAACACCATGCATTTCATGCTGCCACTTCTACAGACTTTTTAACAGGAAACAAAGGGGATGCCCTTGGCACCTCTCAATTCCACAATTTCAAAGTTTGGTATGTAAATCTATATTTTGATGCCCAAGTGGCCTGAAATTCAAAGTTGTGGGGCACCTGGATCTCCCAGCGATTTGGGGGGCAGGGGATGGCGCATGTGCAGGGTGATCATAACTCCATATGGACATAGGAAGCAAAAATTTTAATCTGGCAGGCTTAAAAACATTAGCTTCAGCACTTTTATGACCACACATGAGAGCAGTAACAGGGGAAACAGTCCCCTGATGCAATGGCCTGCTGAAATACTGTTCAACTGAATGCAAGATATTTAATTTAAAGAAATGAGCATTTATATAGTCATCTCTCAAGAGAGATCAAGGCACACAAAATTGCTGTGGACTAAAAATACTTTGGAGAATTAGGAACCTAAATCCCATTTTCAAACAGACATAAACAGTTGGAAGTTTACCTCACTGGAAGTCAGTGAACAATTCAGGATCCCAACAACCTAAACTCCCTTTGAAAAATGAGATTTAATTCATGAGAAGGGGATGATTTTTTTTTTTTTTTTTTTTTAAATGCATGGACTACTTTCAATAAGCCATCTAAAACAGGCTGCTATAACAATGAGAATTTATACCACCCAATAGAAAATGAAAAAATATGCCAGGTAAAAACATTTAAAAAGGTAAGCATAACTTTTTGCTTAGCATGTACTGCCACTGATATTAATTCTTGTACCAGCAGATGGCAGGGTAGTCAGCTTCCCAGCTAGCAGCGATTAAGTTACTCTTTGATGGAAAGGGTATTTATTTTTCCCAGATTTACTATAAAAGGAGCCAAAAGGTAAAACTCATGGACAGTGATGGACAGAAAGTTATTTTACATATATTTCTTCCACCTTTGACAAAGCAAAGTTCCTAGAGATTACATTCCTAATTGGGAATAGAGGTTTTAGACTATAATTAGCAGGCTTTACTTCAAGCACAATGCCTGAAAATTGACGTCTACTTTCTGAAGCTTACCTTTGTAAGCCACCTGCCAGTGACCTTCTAGAGAACGATTTCGGTTGGTAATGACATACTGATATCCAACCCAGAACCTACAGAGAAATAGGGATTTGAGAATTCTCAGTATCACAAGGGAAAAAACACTTCTGTACAGAAAGGAATTAAATACAAGACCTTACAATTTCTCACTTTTAATTGGACTTTTCAGAGCATTAATGCTCTGTCCTGCTACATTTCAAAGCCACAGCTTGGGAATATACCCACTGACAGGTTTGTTTTTGTGTTTTTGCCCGCCTATTTCCGAATGAAGCTAACTGATAATAGCAAAATAAATGACATGTCAACATGTGACAATTTATTTTATTATTAAACACAGAAATCCCAGCACTGAATCTACTCCAAGACTACTGCCACGACAGAATTTACAATCTTGATGGAATTCCACAAAGGTATCCCAAATCCAGTAAGGTGCAGTGCATATTTTCATGCTGTCAAATGCAGCTCTAGGGTGATGCTGAATTAAAATAATCAGCAGTTGATTACTGTATAGTGGTGCTGCTGACGACAGCCTAAAGAACAGGTGGAAAGCAACAGACAGATATTATAATCAGTTTTTAAAAGTGTGTGCAAGTAGGTTTTTTCGCAACTCAAGCAATTGACAGCCTTCTTCCACCCACCTAAAGTTATTAGATATTCAGAGGCTTTTCTTTGGATGCACTGAAAATGGCACCTTACAACTCATTCCAATCTCCTCTCACAGGCTGCCAATGTTACTGGTCTTTTACCAAGAGAGAAAATTCAGTTAACTGAGAAAAAGCTAAAACTACTGCATTCCTCCAAAGACTCAGACTGTTTAATGCATGAAAAAATTGTCATTCTGGCTACAGTTCTGGCAGAGAGGACAGGGTATTCAAATATATAAAGATGTTGTTGAAAGTGCCCACCAACACAACTTCTGTCATGTGACATTTGTAGCCTCTTTGTTAGCACCGCACAGAACATAACACGCAGGTGGCCAGACAACAGCTTAGACTGCTCCAATGAGGTTATCCTAAACTGAAGTCCCTGGTCGTCACTGAATCTACTAAACAAGTGGCAGTACCTTGCTCCTACCAAGTTAGCTATTACCAGTTCTCACATACAAGCTATTTCTAGGATGCAGGTGCTACATTTTCCCCTTTCTACTCACCTACGTTGGTCCTTCCTTCCATAGGCTTTTTCCTCCAGGTCCCACTCCTGTGCCAGGATGAACCGGAGCTCCTGGTCTGCAGTGAAGGTAGCCAAAGACCCATTCACCCTCTGACATGTCTGCACAGCATCCCAGTAGTTCTCGCCATTTAAATACACCCTGTAACAGCTGGCTGTGCCCTCATAGTGATGCCATCCTGTTGGGCACTTTCCTAGGAAACATGGAGAACAGAAGGGAAACCATCCCCCCAAATTAGGATCTTAACTTGAGACAATGTACTTTACATGGTTTGTGAAGGTGACATGAACACTTTTAGTGTTCCAAACACAATGAACTAAACACAGATACTTTGTAAACTGTCACCCCCTCATCTAGAACAGCAGGGGCCAAATGTTTTGGCAAGCACTGCATAAAATTAGCCCGGCACCCACACTGACTGCCACTCGGATCCCTTTCCCTTACCTAATCGACTGTTTTCTGATGCTGCCTGATCTGATGCTCTGACTCCCCACCCACAGTGTTATCAGTCCCCTTCCCAATCTGCTACATGCCACGAACACAGGCAGCCCATGTCACTCATGGCATCAGCACCATAAGCTGGTCACCCCGATCTAGGAGTAGAAGTGTATTATGGATCACTGCAGTGGCTCCCAATGTAAAACTAGTTAAAAAATTAAAAATTAAAAAGGAAGGTGCTCTGGCACTTCAGCTATTCAAAAGCAATTTACTTCTCACTTGCATTGTGACAGCACTTAGAAGTCCCTGATAAGGATCCAGGCTTGATTGTACAAGACAGAACACACTGCCTTGGAGAGCTTACAAACTAATCAATCTATTTTCAAACTAGCAGCAAGAAGCGTAACAGATACTAAATGAGGTGGGAGAGAAGGAGGAAGAGCTAATTGCTGCATCTCCTGGATGTTAGCCACTAAAAAAGTCACTGGTGCCAGATTAAACTGCTTGCAGATATCACTGCAGAACTGGGCCTCTGGAAAGGATATAGGGCGAAGAACATGGTCTTACAAAGACTAGTCTAGGGATGTCAATTCAGTAAGCAAAGGAAGTGCAGAAGAAAGCACAAAGGCACTGTTGACAGAAATGGAGCAATGGGCTCTATAACGCTGGTATTACTGAAAAGCACAGACAGCCAGGAGTGGTTCAGAGACGGACAGCATAATCAGATCAATTAACAAGAAAGATTATTGTAGCTTTTGCATCCGGCTTGACCTGATTCTATTCCAGTGTTATTTCTGCAATACCTGCCATTCACATTTTACCCTCAGTTATTTGATCTTTGTTCTTTCCAATTTCAAAACATCTTTCTTCAAAGTCTACAAGATCCAAACTACTATGCGTGAATACTTTGAAAAAGAGTAGTTTTCAGAAAGCATTCTTGAACACTTCAGATTTCAACGTAAATTGCTGCCCAATATCACCACTTTTTCCTAAAGTAATACTACTTTGAAAGCAATCACATTTTATTCCCCACTTAAAAAGTCAGTGTTCAACCCTGCGTTAAATAATTGCAATCATCTAATACAATGCACTTTAAGCACAAATGTGTCGATCAAGGCCTTGTTAAAAAAAAGTGCTCCTGTGTTGCAATTTCTCTGGAAATACAGGGCCATATTTTCATATTCCCAAAGATTCCCCATCTTCAAAAAAACATCCACCACGATTTAACAGAGAACTAAATTTTTTTTCAAGAAAACTGTTGCTATTCTGGAATTTTCTCTTATAAGTATTAACAGATAATATACTCCAAGCAACAACATATTTAAGTATTTGCAGCGTTTCTATATAGCACACCTTAACAGAAAGCACTGGTATACAAGTATTTAGGTTTCTGGCATATCTGTTTTGGGGCAAAGTTGCTTAAGTTCCATGCTTCTCTTGACCTTAAGTTTATTGTGTTACAACACTACCTAGAAACAAGTGCAAAGTGAGAAGCACTCAGTCCTGAATAGCTCAGGGACCAGTCAGTGACACTCAGAGAAATGGGAACTACCCATTTACTGGGTCAGACCATAAGTCCATCTCACCCAGTCACCTTTGTGTCACAGTGGCAGAGAGCAGATGCTGAAAAGGAAAGTGAACTGGGTATAACCAGGGTTTCCACGCCCCCACCCCACAGTGCCTCTCTCCCACTTGGAGCCTCCAGCATTTAAGGTCTAGGAAGTTCCGATTCAGAGGCTATTACCCTGGCTCCCGAGTTCAATTGCTACTGATGCACCTTCCTTCCAGGAATGTGTCCAATCCCTTTTTGAATCTGGCTACATCATCACGAACCACCCAAGGTAAATCACAGTAAATACATTCCCAATTCAAAAGAAAAAGAAACTATAATATGTAATTGTACAAGTTGTGCTAGTGTAGATCCATGTGCCGCACTGTTCACAACTGTGGAAACAATACCAAGTGCAAGTAGTAAAGATCAATCAATCAAAAACCATTATATCACTTGCAGTGCTGCACAAGAAATAAGCTGAAGAGCTACTTATGGCTCTGGCTCCAGTCTGAGCATCACTGTGCTAACTTACAAAAGAGCCTTTAAAGTTCTGCTCCTTTTCATGGACTTCCATAAGCAGAGTTTTGTTTTGTTTTTTTAAAGCCTCTCGAGAAGAAACTGCCCAGACTCCTAAACAGACCGCTAGGAATTTGGACCAGCTTCCCCAGTCTGCAACTTACTGCTAAAGCGGACAGGCTGCGCCACGTTGACAGTGTGAAAGCGGGTGGTATCTGCTCCTCTGCCTCGATTGTGCCTGGAGTCCACATTCTCTTTCCCATGATAAGGTCGTTGGTCCCCTGTCAAGCCTAGAGGCAAGAGGGAATGTTCAGTACAAGTGAAAGAAATGCAAGGCAAGCCAATTTTTCCATCTCAGCAAATTAAACCAAAACCCTTCTCTCACAACAGGTCCCAGCAAATTTCAACTCAAGACCAGAAGCCAATGAATTGGAGTTGCCTGCAATAAGAGTTTACCTGCCCAAAAGAAACATGAAATTGCTACAACCCAAGAGAGCCAACAAGCCACTACATTAGTCTTGTAAATTAAGCTAGGTATCTGCTGCTGGGTTTGG